ATTTATAATTTTTTATATTTTTTAACCATTAGGAAAAGAACGCGCCCAGAAGAATCAAAACCTGCGTTGAATTTGGTTATTATTGGACATGTAGATGCTGGTAAAAGTACAATGATTGGTCACCTTCTCTACCAAGTTCGGTTGTGTTTCTTTAAAAAAATTTATTTGAGCAAATTAAAAAGAATTGACCTCGGCCGGGTTCGAACCGGCGACCTTCAGTGTGTAAGACTGACGTGATAACCGCTACACCACGAGGCCCGATAGTGGAAATCGCTAAAGTATTTAAATATTCCTAGAGAAAAGGGGTTTTGTTGTCTTTTTTCTTTCTTTCCTCTTTTTAATAGGGAAGGGGTAAAATAAATTGGAGAAAAAAATTTTTTAATAAAAAATAAAATTTTTTAAAATTCAAGTTAGGAAATGTTGATGAACGTGCAATGCATCGTTATAAACAAGATTCTTCTCGGTTAGGAAAATCTTCTTTTGCTTTTGCTTGGATTTTAGACCAAAATGAGGAAGAACGGTCTCGTGGTGTTACAATGGTTTTCTTTAAATTTTATTTTAGAAAATTTTTTTAATTTTTTTTTAATTTAAGGATATTGCAAAAACAGATATAGAGACTCCTTCTGGTAAAAAAATTTATATTTTGGATGCTCCTGGACATAAAGATTTTATTCCGAATATGATAAGTGGTGCTACACAAGCAGATGCTGCTCTTTTAGTTGTGAATTCAACACGTGGAGAATTCGAGACGGGGTTTGATCAGGGCGGTCAGACACGAGAACATGCTTTGCTTGTTAGAGCACTTGGTAAATAATTTTATTTTTGAATTTTATTTGGTACATTTTCGACTATTTTGATATTTATTAGATTGAAACTATTTTACTAAAACCAGACAAATTCTGTTTATTTTAATTATTCGATGTTAATTTTGGGGTTGAGAGCTTTTTGTAGGCTGAGAACTTAATTCTTTAATTTATCTACTAGAGTTAGGATGGTTCGAGAAAATATTGTGTCTGTTTTTCAGATTCTTCTTCCTTGGGTTGAAAAAACTTCAAATTGTTTTATTTTTTGACTGACGCACCCATGTGGTGTAAATAAATAAGTAAAAATTTTTTACATTGAAAAATATTTTTTCAAAATTTTGCAGTTATATTTTTTTCAATTCTTGAACACTCTAAAAGTTCTCCTTTGAGTTTTTCAGGAATTTTTCTAGAATATTCTTAATTATTTTTTAATTATTTTTTATTTTAAAAAAGGTGTTAGCCGTTTAATTGTTGCTGTAAACAAATTAGACACAGCTGATTGGTCTAAAGAACGTTATGATGAACTCTGCTCTATTCTTTCCGTTTTTCTTCAAAAACGTACTGGATTTGAATTTGTTCAATTTGTGCCTGTTTCTGGACTTTATGGAATTAATTTGGTAAAATGTCCGTCCTCTGATCATCCTTTGGCTGTTTGGTATTTTGGAAAAGACTCTCCTACACTTGTTGAAGTTTTGGGTATTTTTTTATTTTTTTAGATTTTGGTTAATTTTGGGTAAACACATTTTTAAGTTTAAAGTCGACTTAAGTATTAGAGATCGAGCTGGACCTGGACCAAGGCCTGGGGTTTTCCTGTACCCAGAGTTTAGGCCCAGGCGTTTTTGACCTTCCTGGGTTTTCCTGGGCCTGAGTTTTTCATGGACTACATGCCCAGGATCCAGCCCAGGTCAATAAATCAAACCCAACAGTCCAGGAACCGGTCCAGGCTTTTCAAAAATCTCGATCTCTATTAGCTATAAGATATACCCAATGCATAGCGAAGGCTACCTCTATTTATGCGATATTCCCTATTTCATAGCACCTCATTATAAGATAATACAATTTTTTAGCCTCTAGTCTTATCTCTATTTTTTTTCAAATATATTTTTTAGTTTTAATTAAGTCAATTGGATGAAACTTTTTAAAAATATTTTTAGGACTCCCTATTTTGTTGATTTCATTATTCTTCTTTTATGGTCCCAATTTTACGATTATTAACCTTTAAGAATTTTTTATTCTAATTTACATTTAATTTAGATTCTCTACCAATTACATCAACTTCAACAGCCGAACAACCCCTTAGAATTGTTGTTAATGATATTCTCCGTACTTCTCCAACAATACTTTGTGTTAGTGCAAAAGTCGAAGGAGGGCATGTAGAGACGGGTGATAAATTGTTTTTGATGCCTGAGGCGATTGCTGTGGTTGTTAAAGGTTTGTGGGGTGGGGGGTTGTTCTTTGATAGGCGATTATAGGGGCGGTTACGGGGCCTTCAAAATTTGAATAAAGCTAAAAACATTTTCTTAAAAATTTTTTTTAAATATAGCCTTAATTAAATGGCTCTATTTTTTTTAAATAAAGCATTTTTTGATTATTGCTTTAAATAAAATAACAGGGAAAATGAAATAGAGGTAGACCAACAAATATTGCAAAGTTTTTTTGTTGACTTCCCCTTTATTAAATTGTCTTATTACACCTTGAATTTCAATAAAAAATTTCAATAAAAGTTTTTTAAATTTCGTTTTAGCCTTATCAATTGATGACTCTTCTTCGTCTACCTCTCAATCATCAAAAAATATTTCACCGCCAACAGATCAACAGGTTTATTTAAAACAATATTACTTTTCTGTTATCTTCTCCCTACTCCCCCAAGTGCATTTTCTTCCCTCCTTCCCTTTTTATTCCAAATACTCAATGTCACTCATGTTTAAGGATTAAGTTAAATACTACCTGGGGAAAGGAATAATTTAAGGGAAGGGGGAAGATAACGAAGAAGTACCAAAACAATAATAAAATATTTTTTAAGATTTGTTTTGCGGGAGATCAAATAACTCTTACATTAAGTGGAAATTTTGAACCTGATTCTGTTTATCCTGGAAATGTTTTTTGTAGAGGAGGAACAGTTAGTTTATAAATTTTTTTTTAATTTTTGAATATTTTCGGAAGAGTTTTAAAAATTTATAAAAATATTATCTAAACATTTTCGGATAAATAACATTTGAAGTAACGACCATATTTAATATTTGGGCAGTAAACTTTAGTTTCTCGGGGTTATATAAAATGTATAAAATACAGGCAGACTTCACTATAAGCTATGACGAATATTAGATATACCTCAATTTAAGATAGGGTTTTTTTTAATTTAGTTGGCCATTGGATTTGGGTGAGAGCTGTCTAACAATAGGCGATGTCCCCTATATAAAACACTATTATAGAATACAATTTTCAGCTCCAAGAGGGAGAATAAGAAGCGGATAGCTGCGCCAAACCCTTTGCCTAGGGTCAAGTCGGCGCTGCCGCTGCCCGGGTAACCTTACCCTCAAATTTATTCTACGGGCCAAAAAGGTATCTGGTTAGTAGGGTCCTAATGTATAAACAATAATTGAGTTTTTTTATTTAACAAAAATTTAACAATTTTTATAAAAATAATTTAAAAAAATTTTTTTTCAAAGGAACTATTACATCCTCGCCAACGTTTTCTTGCTCGTTTAGTTACTTTTGATATTCGAATGCCTATTTTGAGAGGGGCGCATGCAGAACTTTTTGTTCATTCTTTACGTGTTCCTTGTGTAATTAGCAAATTAAATTCAATACATCCTGGATCTAAAGAATTGGAAAAGAAAAATCCGAGGTAAAAAATATTTTTTGTTTTTGGGAAAATTAATATATTTTGGTATGTGATAAAAATTTGTAGTTAAAGGAATATTTTTCTTAGGTGTTTTTCCCTTGATTTAATATAATTAGGGTTGAGGTTTTCGAGTCGGACAGACATTTGAGTCATTTTTTCGGGCCTTATTTTTATCGGGCCGGCCCGACCGAGTCTTTTTCGGGCCAAAATTCGATGCCCGACTCGATCTTTCGAACCGAACCGGGCCCCAACCCTAAATATATTTAAATAAGTTACTAGTGAAATTTTATTTATTTTTTGATATTTTTAGTCATGAATATCTCTCCAAAATCTCTTTCCATATAAAACCCTTCAATTAATAATATTTTTTAATTTTTTTCACCAGACTTTTGCCTCGTAATGTATCTGCTATAGTTGAAATTAAAACTGAACAAGCCATTTCTGTTGAATCTTTTAACAAAAATAAACAATTGGGGCGGTTGGCTCTTCGCTCTAATGGTGAAACAATTGCGGCGGGAATTATAATTGATGGATAATTTTTAAATTAAATAAATTTTTCTTGTTTTTAATGATTATTTGTGCCTATTAAAATTTTGCTCTAAAATTTGTCTTTATAAAGGACACCAAATTAGTAGAATACATTTACCTATTTTTTCTTTGGGCTGACCTCACTATAAGATGCAACACCCATGGGCTTGAAAAATTTTTATCTTATAGTGAGCGTGTCTTAAATAGAAGGGTATCGCTTGGTAGCCCCTCCACATTCAGTCGTAAAACAAAATTTTAAAAAACCTTATCTTAACTTGATAAGGTTTTTAGTATCTTTGAGATGTTAGTATCACAAACTGGGTTATCTTATAGTGAGGTCTGTCTGTGACTAATATTACTATTTTTTTGTTTAAGTTTTGTATTGTTGTATGTTTATTTTTTCTTTTTCTTTTCATTTCTTTGCAAAATGCTTCAAGTTTATAGGAAAATTAAAGGAAAGGTCAATTAAACTTTAATATTTTTTGTTATGGGAAAATTTCCTAAATTATAAGTAGGGTTTATTATAACCTAAATTCACTTCACTTTATTTTCTTATCTCTCTGCTATAATTAAATTTCGCTTTCTCATTTTTATCATATGCTTTTGAAGAAAAACTAGAAAAATATTACTCTTTTAATTTCTTTAACCTGTATTTTAAAATAAAACTGGATTAGTTGTTGATGGTTTAGTGGGTAAATGTTAGATTTGGTGACCATTAGCCTCCGGGTTCGAACCTTTTTGAGTGAAATTTATTTTTTATTTTCACATATAAGTTATAAATTAAATAAAAATTAATTTCAATATTTTTATAAAACATTCTAAAATTTTTAGAACATTTTAGCATGCTTCTCTTATTATTTTTAGCTCCTTTGGTCTTGTCTAATAAAATATCCGACATTCACTATTCCGATTTGTATTTTTATTCTCCCTCCGATTCCCCCAAAAACAATTGGACAATAAATTATGGAAGTTGGTTAACCCTTCCTTCTCTAGATTTTGCAGCAGCTGCCTATTCACCTGATCCAAGCCCTTGTTTAGAAAAACACAAAGCTAAACTTGTTTTGCGTGTTCAAGTGCCCTGTGATGCTTTTAGAGACGAGGTGAATTTTCTCTCTTAAAAAAGCCCCAAAAAATATTATTTTCCCAATTTTTAAGTGTTGGGCATTCATTGCAATTTCAAGGCATTTTATAATATTTAGTGTTCGTGGTACTCAAACACAAACACAATTAATTGTTGAAATTATTGAATCGATGACTGGTAGTAAACTTTGGAAAAAAAATTCCTTCCATTTTTAGCCCCCAAAAAGGAATTTCCAGCAGGCGGTTCTGTTCAACATTATTTTTACGAGTCTCTTCAGGCAATTTGGAATGCTGGTTTTGGTACAAAATTGGCAGAATTGAAAAAAGTTTTCCCCAAATTTTATTTAAAAAATATTCCTCTCCATTCTCTAGGCTTATCCAAAATTGAAAGTTCTCTTTACCGGACATTCTCTAGGTGGAGCTATTGCTTCGTTGGCGAGTGCTCAATTTGCAATGGAAAATAATCGGACAATAAAGGCAAATTATTAAATTCAATAGAGTCTGGGTTTTGTGGGGGACAGTTTCTCCTTTCCCCTAATTTTGAGACTCTAATAGTCTTTAAATTTATTAAAAAATATTTTTTAGCCCAAAGAATTGTTATTAGTAACGTTTGGACAGCCACGAGTTGGAAATATTGAATATGCAAAATTACATCGACGTCTAGTTCCAAATTCTTTTAGAATTGTGCATAGATATGGTTTTTTCTAAATACTTTAAAAATACTGTAGAAAATGAGGAATGGTCAAATAGACTAGTTAACGACAAAACGTCCCCAAACCTAATTAGTGACAAAATGCCTAAAAAAGATAAGGACGAAATGGTCAAAACATTTTTGGGACAAAATGGTCATTTCACTTTAGGAACAAAATGATCTTATAAGAAACCAACATCCTTTTAAGGACAGAGCGGGCACTACTTCATTAGGAACACTAAAATAATAACGAGTTTTCATTCAGATTTGGTGCCACACATTCCCTACTGCTATGAAAGACTAAGACGGCCACACAAGTAAAAAAACTTGAAAATTTTTCAATCAAAATTTCTGTAGATGTATCCCTTTACACGCTCACGGACCCTTTCACCACCCAACAGAAATTTGGTATCCAACAGAAGAAATGAATTTAAATAATTCTTTATTTAAAATTTGTGATGGGCTGCCTATTGGGGAAGACCAAAATTGCAGGCAAAATAAAAAAAATATAAAAAAAATATTTTTTTTTCTAGTAATGCATATTTTGTTCATTTCCAAGTTGGCGATCATTTAAAATATTTTGGAAAAATTATTCGTTTATATGGAATTAATGGGTGTCAGTGAAGAATTTAATTTTAAACAACTAGTCGAAGCAAGATAATGTAATTAGGCTTGAAATGTTTTCTTTTCGCTACCGTAATTGTACAGTACTCTCTAAAAACATTTTTCTTTAATCTATTGAAAATCCGCAAAATTAATCCGCAATTTTAAAGTCTTTGAAAATTTTGTCCGCAAAAAACTTGCGGACAAAAAATTTTTGTCTGCAAAAAATTTTTGCGGATTTTTACAAAACAAAGAAAAAATACCAAAAAATTAATTTTAATAAATTAAAAAAATAAAAGGCACAAATAAATTGCAAAAAAAAATCAAAATTTGAAAGAACGATACGCTCAAAAAATTTTTGAATAAAATTTCCCCTCCTCTTCCTCCCTCCACTTCCCTTCATAAAATACTACAACAACTAATTAAATTAAAAGAAGAATTTTTTTGTTTCTTTTGTTGTTTAATAATTTTATTATTTATTTCTTCTCCATTTTCTTCATTTTCTGAAGGTAATAAATTAAATGAAGAACCAAAATAATTGGAAGAAGAAGAACGATTTTCTGACTTTAAAAAAGAGAAAAATTATTTTAAGTCAATCCTTCCAATGTCAGTTTTTGAAGAGGAGAGGATATTTACCTTTAATTCCCTTTAATCCTACACCTCTAATTTTAAAGAAAAAAGAAGAGATTCCCCTCAAATAAAAAAAGATTCTAATCTCTTTCCCTTCTTGGGGTTCTTTCAAGCCAAATCTTCTCCCAGAAAAAAAGGGATAAAAGAAAATAAGAGTTTTCCGGTAATATTGAAGAGTATAAACCTCATTTTTTCTCCCTATTTTTCCCCCTATATTTTTACAAAATGGTCAGACTTTTTCCTTCTTTCCATCCATTTTTACCTTTCTAATTTTTGCCTACAATCAAAAAAAGGATTATTTGTGATATTTTATTTCCCTTTTAATAGAGAAAATAAGTCTTCGCAAAACTCATACTTGTGAAATACCAAAAAATAATCTTTTTTTTTATTGTAGGCAAAAATTAGAAAGGTAAATTGGATGTAAGGAAAAAGTCTGACCATTTTGTAAAAATATAGGGGAAAAATAGGGAGAAAAAATGTGGTCTATACTCTTCAATATTACCAGTTTTCCTTATTTTTCTTTAACTAAAATTAGTGCGTAATTCCAAAGTCTTCAATAATTTTGTCCGCAAAAACTTGCGGACGTCAAAATTTGTCCGCAAAAATTTTTGCGGATTTTGGTAAATTTTTACTCTTCCCAAAACTTTGATTTAAAAACTTAAACAAAACCTCAATTAAAATACTTTCGGCAATTGCTTGCATTGCTGTTTCAATTCCTCGACCATTCAAAGCTTTAAAAACAAAAAATTTTTATTTTTAAATTAAAAAAAATACCAGAAGTTTCAAAATATTTAGCATTTTGTTCTTCAGCAAATTTAATAGCTTCTTGTACACTAACCTTTCTTTCTCCATTTAAATCACTTTTATTTCCAATAATAAATAATAAAATATTGCTATATTCTGAATTATGCTCCAAAACTTTAAAATTTAAAAATGTTCAGTGGACAAAATGGTCAGTGATAGAAATGGACAGTCAACCGAAACCTTCTTTTTAGACAAGGCAAAAGACTCAAAACCTTTCTTGGAGGGGTAATAAAGCTGTACAAAAAAATTCGATTTTCTGACCATTTTGAGACCTGACCGTTTTGTCCACATTTTAAATTTTTTCATTTTTTGATTAAAAATAAATTAAAAAACCTTTAATCCAAAAACCCAATTCTCTAAAAGATTGTCGATCTGTTATATCAAAGACTACAAGTGCTGCAGCTGTATTGCGTAAATAAAGGGGGACCTTTTAAATTAAGTTTTTTTAAGTTAAAAATTAAAGAAAAACCATTGAACGAAATCTTTCCTGCCCGGCAGTGTCCCATACTTGTAATTCAAATTCTCTTCCATCATTTATTTTTCTAAAATTAAAAATTAATTTTTCTGTTTGCAGAAAATGTCCGCAAATTTAATCCGCAAATCTAAAAAAATTTTGCGGACAAAACTTGCGGATTTTATGCAATGAAAATTTTTAAAAAATTCTAAAAACTAACGGGCGTGAACAAATAAAAAAGGCTCCTTGAGTAGAACTTAATTTGCTAGTAAATCCTTGGCCATCGTGGCGAAGTAAAATTGAGGTTTTCCCGACACCTTGGAAAGAAAAAAAATTTTTTGAAAATTTTGAAAATTTTTGAAAAAATTTTTTGATTTAAAAATCAATTTTTAAAAAATTTTTCTAAACAAAAAATGAATTAAAATATCCAAAAATACCCATATTTCCCAACATAACAACTTTAGCTTTAAGTGGAAGTTGATGACTTGCTGCCGTCTTTTTGCCTCTTAAAAATCGAGTTTTTCTTTGACTTAAATGTTGATGGTTATTTTGTTGTTGATTACTACTTTCCCCTCCATTTTTATCCATTTTTTACAAAATAAAATAAATTACTGAAAAAAAAATTTTTTTTAATTTGCGGACAAAACTTGCGGACAATATTGAATTTGCGGACATTTACCGAATTAAAAAGAAAAAATATTCAAAATGGCTAACATAAACTATATTTTTAAATTAAAAAAAACAATTAAACTTTTATTCTTCTCCTTTTAAATAATTTCTTTTTATTAATCATTTAATTTTTAACATTTATGAGAAAATTAAAAATAAAAAGAAAAAGCAATGTAGTAAACAAATATTTATATAAAAATATTTGTAAAAATAAAAATAATTTTAAAAAATAAAAGTGCAAATGAAATATAAAATTGAAAAATCAAAAAATGAAAAAAACACTGAAAAACTAAGAAAAAATAAAATTTAAATAATTTAGAAAATTTTGCGGACAAATACGGAGGGGATTATGGGAAAGAATTTTTAAAGAAAAAATTAGCAAGTGCGGGTTTTTAATTTTTTAATATAATTTTTGATAAAAATGATAAAGAAAGAATATTTTTACTTTTTATATTTTAGATTGCACCAATCAGACAGGAAGTAAATAAAAAAGTAAAAGAGCAAAGTATGTTGACGATATAAAAATTATTCGGTGAATTGTCTGGAATTAGGACAGTTCACCGAAAAAATTTACCGGTGAATTGTCTGGAACAAGGACAATTCACCGAAAAAATTCACCGGTGAATTGTCTGGAACAAGGACAATTCACCGAAAAAATTAGTCGGTGAATTGTCTGGAATACGGACAATTCACCGAAAAAATTCACCGGTGAATTGTCGGGAATAAGGACAATTCACCGAAAAAATTTACCGGTGAATTGTCTGGAATAAGGAGACAATTCACCGAATACATCTAAAAATTAATTTATAATTCACTCCAAAAAATGTAAAAACAACACAAATTAATCATTCTACTTTAAACTAAAGGGAGAAAAAATAGAAAAAAAAATATTTAAAAATGTAAAGTGTGTGTCATTTGTAGGCTTTAATAGACTAAAACAAAAAAAATTGTCCAATTGATCAGAACAAATAGAAAAAAAGATGAGAGATAATCGATTAAATATATTTGTTTAAAAAATTGAAAAAAATTTTTGATATATTTAAAAAATATTTTTTTAATGTAGACTTTAATATGTAGACTTAAAGTTATGTTGGCTGTTCATCACCAAAAAATCTCGTCGAATCTTGTTATAATATAACGAGATACTATACTTCAATTAATTAATTCATTTAGGTTTTTAAATGTGGTTAGTCGTTTGTTGGGAGTAAATGGTAAATGTCCAAAAAAATTTTTCAAATTAATAAATTAAAGCATTAGCAAAGATTCCGATAGGCATTAATTACAAAACTCAGAATTTTAAAGAGGAATATTTTTACTTTTAAAATTTCTTTAAAAATAATTTTTGGGATAAATACATATGAAAAGCCGATTTATAAGAAAAAATATTCAAAGAATATTAAATAATAAAATAAATTAGTATAACAATGGTTGCATTTTTATGTTGTTTCACTTTTAATATAAGAGAAAAATAATTTAGGTCATTAATACAAAGAACAGTCCAAGAAACAAAAAATACATAATTTTAATTAATAAACAAATATGTAACAATATAACAAGTTGTAAAGAAAAGTTCTTGGAGGTCATTTAGAAAAAAGAAAACTTAAAATACAGTTATCGACATCATACACGACATGAGACATTGTGAACTTGTATTCAAAAGTTTTCTTTAGTTTACGGGCCGAGTTGGTTGGAAGGGCTCAGGAAAGTGACTACACAAGGAAGAAGTAGAAAGATCTCTAGTTGTTTAAAGGATTAAGCTTGTCAAAAGTTTTCGACTTATAAATCCGACAAAATCCCTTTGTGAATTTACTATAAAAGCAAAGAATCTTTTAAATTACAAAACCACCAATCGTTTCCATAACAGTCTTCAACAACGGTTCACTCTTTTATCAACGACAGTTTCTCCGTGTTCTATAAAGATGTCTAGGAGCAGAATCTCTTTCTGTTTGTTGCTGTTACTCCTCTCCACGTTTTGCGATGCAAAGTAAGTTTCTCAAAACAATTTTTTGTTTTTAAGATTTAAATTGTATTTTATAGCAATGACACAGAGCAAAGTCAACAGAGCAGTACAACGGGAGAAGGGTTTCAGAGCGATGGACATGAACAGGAAGAAGCCAGCAAAGTAGAGGTGCAGCAAAACGAGATTAAGGATGAGACAAAGGACGATGGATCGAAAGTTGAAGTTGACGAGGGTGCTGAAGTTCAAAAGGAGGAGGTCAATAGCCCCGAGAATGAAGAGCAGAACAAAGAAGGTGGAGATGAAATTCAGAAGGAAGACGTCGCTCCTGGGAACGAGGACAAAGAAGATGGAACCGACGACGTCAAAAGTCCCGAGAATGAGGATCAGGCCAAGGAAGATGGAACCGAAGTTCAAAAGAAGGAGGCCAACCCCTCCGAGAACGGGAGCAAAGAGGATGGGGCCGAAGTTCAGAAGGAGGAGGGAAACCCCCCTGAGAATGAGGAAGAAGCCAAAAACCCTGTGAACGAGAACAAAGAGAAAGAAGATGAAGATCAAAGTGAAGAGGTCAAACCACCTGAGAACGAGAGCAAAGAGGATGGAAAAGAAGTTCAACGGGGTCAGATAAAAGAGGGTGGATCTGAAGTTCAGGGGGAGGATGCCGAAGATCCAGAAAGTGGCAGCTCAGACACAACGTAAGAACTTCGATAAATTTTGATTTCTTGACTTCTCTTTTCATTTTCAGGTTTGTTGAATCTACACCGACTGAACCTTCTTTGAATGGGAGTTTTAATAACCAGACAAGGTAAACTGAACGAACAAAGTTTTCAATGACTAATTTTTCTTTCTTAGTTTTCCTCCAAACAATGATACTTGGGATCCAACAAGTAATGCGCCCCCGGAAACGTCAGATTCGTCAACAGCGCCGCCAACTGGAACGTCCACAGATCCAATTGAACCGTCAACAGAAACAACAGGACAACAGACCGGACCACCAAGCAAGGAAACCAAATCAAGTGCACAAACAACAACAACAACAGTTGCAGCAAGTACAGAAAGTAGTGGCAATCTCTTCCTAATTGTGGTCATCATCTTCTTGGTTCTCCTGCTGATAGCTATCTTTGTCTGCTGTTGTATGCTGAGGAAAAAGAATCCGGATGATGACAAAGATTTGGAGAGGCAGGATCTCGCATCCGATGGTGGTTCGTCCAAAACTGAAGGTTCTGAACTTGGCAAGAAATTAAAAGACGCTGCAAGTGAAGTGAAGACAGAAGAGAAGGAAGAGTAAGAAAAACTTGTTTTAAACTTTTTCTAAACTTTTGCCGATTTTTAGAGATGAAATGGAAACGGCGCGTGGAGCAGGAACCGAACTTTTCTCTTATGCTCCCGGATCTGAGGACACGGCAATTTCAGTAAAGGAAAAAACAGCGGTAGAAGTAAGCAAACGTTTGGGGAGTGGGTCTGCTGCTGGTGGAAGGGGTAGTATGAAAACAGCTGTGCTTAGAGATGAACTGGAAGATGATGAGGCAGGATTTGAAAATGCAAAGACAGCTGTGCCTGGAGAGGGAAGGTATGGGGAAAAGATTTTTTTGTAAAAATTAAAAAAATTTTTTCAGTGGAGCTACAAAGACTGCAGCAGCACCAGATGCAAAAGAATCGTCCGTAGAGGACAAGGAAGGAAGAGGAGGGGCAAAGACAGCAATTAGTGGTGATGATACAACTGGAGAGACAAAAACTGATGAAGAAAAGAAGGAAAATGAAGAGGAGAAGAAAGAAGGAAAGGAAGAAGCAGCTGAAGGAGAGGAAGGCTCGGAGGAATAAAAGAATTTGTAGAAGTAATGAAAGATGTTGAGAGAATAGATGTAAAAAAGAATATAATCTTTGTAAATTGTAAAAATTAATTTTTTTTTTCCTTCACTCTGTGATATTTGTAAATTGTGTTGATTTTTGGTTGAAAATGAATTAAATAAAAATTTTTTATTGAAAATCAAAATTCTCAAATTTTAATGTGTAAAATAAAATTTCACTGAAAAAAATATTCGACTAGCAAAATAGAAGGGATTATGGGGATATCCTATCCCCTTTTTATCAAGAGCTAATCGGCGTCATGTTTAAATATCATTTGAATTCTGTTTTGTATACTTGCATTACTCAAAAGGTAAAATAGAAAAAAAAGATAGTTTATTGGATGAGACGATTAACTATCTGATTTAATTTACCAAACAAATTCCCGAAACACTTAGAGATTTCTTTTAAGCCTCGCCAAATGGCAAAGCCATTCCAAAATTTATCCAAGCTGCCACCACTACAGGGCAAGGATACAATTAGTACCTCAAACTTGGGTAATTAAACCGAAGAATACAGCAAAAGAAAAACATACAAGCAAAAAACAAAAATAAATTTCAGACGCTGCATAAAATAAAACAAATTTTAAAGAAAAGAGTAAAAGAACACTAAATGTTTACACTTTCTCTCATTCATTTTCATTTCTCTGCTTGAAGGACTTCTCTTTAGTTAACTTTAAAAAAGCGAAAAAATGCCAAAGCGTTGAAAAATAACGAAATCTCTACAATGCACAGACAATCAAAATGGTCAGAAGGGGAAAATATTTAAAATTGTCACTACTCTAGAATCAATTATTTTGGATTTGGGTTTTCAATTTTTAAAGATTATTTACCCCTTTTAGCCTTATAAGTTTTTTTTCTTTCGGATGTCAAAGAGACTTAAAATTCGACGAAGAACATAACTAAAAAGAGAAAGAAAACATAACTGAAAAAAGAATTTTTTTAATAAAAAAATCAAAAAATATTTAAAAAAAAATTTTCTTGCTTCGGAAAAAACGTTTTTTACAACATTAAGTAATTTATTTCAGAAGACCGTCGTATTTATCTTCATTAGCAAGATAATGGATTCGAACCCCCAACATGTCCCCCTCAAAAACCAGAACACTAACCACTCAACCACCGACTTTAACAACAGCAAAATAAATTTAAACCTTAAGAAGACAAAAATTAAAACAAACCCTCTTCCGGTCGAGAACCTCTAAAAATATATATTTTCAAGATTACCCAAAATCAAGGGACAAATTCGAGTCAATTTGCATAATAAATTTAACAAATATTCAGATAAAATTAAAATATACCTAACTCATTCTCAAAAAAAAATAAAAAAATATATTTATTTATTTAATATTTTGTAAAAACAAGGCAAATAAATAAAAAAAACTTTTTAAATGTGAAAAAAAACTAATTTTTTAATTAAAGGGAAAGTATACATTATAATTTAAAATGGCAATAAATTTGGTTTGATTCTAAACAAGACACAGAATAGATAAAAATTTTAGGATAACCGTAAATATCCAAATAAAAACCCTGGACGTTTATTTCAATGAATTTCGTTGGAGGGGTGCTTATAAGGACATTTACGGTAATTAACATAAAAATGTAAAAATGTGGTAGACGAGACTTTACAAGGATTTAGGAAAAAATTTAAAAAAAATTATATTGGAAGAGGAGAGGGATTCTAATTTAAATTAAAAATTAAATTATCGAATATCACGAAGCTAGGCAACAATTATTGTAACATTAGAACCCCTCAAAGTATAAAAAATACAATCGGACTTCACTTATAAATAAACTTTAATATAAAAGTACGTTTTTTGCAATTCTGATTAACTAATTAATTGAGGAATAAATTAAGTAATAAATAGAGCTCGAACCCAGCCCGGTCAACTTGGAAGAAAAAACCCGGATATCGAGCTCTAGTAATAAATCTAACTTGTGTGTAGCAGGGAACGAGCCGTTATATTTTTTAATATAAGATAGAAAAAAAATTTCCGTCCCGAAAATCGGGAATTTTGTTTTTCTTTGTGTGTACAAAATGGCTCTCCCCCGAGGATGCACAAATAAATGAAGCCCGATTGTATATTTAAATAATTTATAAAAATGTTAATTTAATTAAATTGTTGTCCTTCTCATGGCCACAGATAAATTAAAAAAATTCTTTCAAAATTTCTACAACCTTTTCATTCTCATTTGTGTATTGGATAGAGGTAATTCATAAGCATTTTCTTGATCAGAATGTTCTGAAAATAAAAAAAAATTTTTTTTAATGGAAGATAAATTTTAAAAAATTTAAGAAAAAATTTTTTTTATAAAATTAAAATTAATTTTGAGAAAAAAATAAAAAAATATTTGATCGAAATAAATAATATACAATAAAATAAAAATACCCTGACCTTTAAAAAATCAGAGAAAATTTTAAAAATTTTTTAGAATATATTTAGAATAGAAATTAAAAAGACAAACAGAAAAAGAAAGACAGATAAAAGAGGAGAAAATTAGTTAAATTTTAAAGAAAAATAAAATGAAATTAATTAATTTGGGGATGGACGAAGTTAGAAAATATATTTAGAAATTTAATTAGAAACTTCCCATTTCTAAATAGCTTAAAATTAAAAAAATAAGTTTCCCATTGTTAAATTTAAAAAAAATTAAATTTTAATATTTTTTTAATATACGATAGAGAAAAAAATTTTTTTAAATTAAAGAAAAAATATCGGAAAGAAAGGAGAGAGGAGAATATGTATAGGCAATCTCCTAAGAAAAAAATTAAAAAAAAATTTTTTTTATTAAAAAATTCCCCTTTTTTTGTTAGTATTTTTTAAAAAAATTGTTAGTAAAAAAATAAATAAATTTGTTGTTAGTAAGTACCGCCTCCATTATTTTTGTCCAAATTATTTTCATCTTCATCCAGGTTTGAATTTAATTTATTATTTTTATTAAAAGGAGGAGAAGGTGAAGGAGAATTTTTAGAAGAAAGCAAAGGCGTACTCGAATCTTTAATTAAAAGTTTTGTTCCACCATTTAAATTATTATTTTTTTGAATATAAGAAGGTGTTGTGGAGGTTTTTGGTCTAAAAGTAGTATCACTACAAGTAGCATAACCAACTTCATCTTCCATATCATCCATTGTTGCATAAATATCTGTTAAAAAAAGAAATTATAAGGTTAAGATTAGAGATTAGACCGAGACGAGATCTCAAAAAAATAGTTTGGTTATCGAAATCTAAGTTATCGAGATATTGAGTTCGATTTTAGTAGAACATCCCCCTGTCCGTTCTCAAAGTTGGGTCAGATGTTTAGCAAAGGAAGTCGAGGGTAGCACCCCTAGCCTTCGGGGGCAGGAGTGTCGGGTTTCGGGGTCTGCCGGGGTAGAGCTTTCTGGGTTCGGGTCTTGGTTTTTGCCAAAAAAAAAGTCGAGGGACGGGGTGCTACTCTAGAAATCTCGTCCTTATCGATAGGACCTTAATTAGGTTTATTATTATAGTCAAAGGATCAATTTAGTTCAAATGGAAAAGGAATTAGTTGGGGGAAAATAAAAATAAAATTTCAAAGATAAAAGTAGCTTAATTAATTTAAAAGCTTCCCACAAAATTTAATTAAAAAAACCAACTTTCAACTCTATTATTATTATTCAACATTCCACGCATTTGCATGGATTCAGCCTTTTCTTTTTGTGCTAATATAGCCAAATCGTCATCAATAATTCCAGAATCTCGAGCCTCTGGATTGTCAAAAAGTCTGTTTGTAAAGCCACCATCATCTCCTTCCCTTCCATTTATATTATTATTTATTGTTGTCCCTCCAACACCATTAATTGATAAATATTCATCTCCGCTATATCTATAAAGAAAATTTCGTTGATTTTAAAAGATATGTATGAGTATTTGTAAGGATTAGAATCAAAGCGCCGTCCCGACTCGTGACCTGAAAAAGACGCGACAACTCCCACGAACTACTTGAGCTGAAAACGGCTACACAGCTAGAACAAGCACATGTTATAATGAGACAGGACCTGACATGAACCCAATCCTTATTTCTGGTTAAGAAAATTTTGTTGGCTTTAAAAGGACTGGCTTAATTTTTGTTTCAAACTCGGAGCTGGAATTTTACTTAGAAATTTTATAATTTTTAAATAAGGAAGCTGTCCGATATATTTTCCCCTTAAAAATCAAAAATTTTTTATTTACTTCACTACAGCTGGAGGATTCTTTTCATGATGATATTTACGTCGATAATAAACAACAAAAACAATTAAAATTCCAGAAGATAAAAATAATATTAATAAGGCCATCCAAACATAAGAAGCAATTGATGTAGTTGTCTTTTGTTGTTCAGCATCTTTTAAAAATATTAATGTCAGTATATAAATAAAAACAAAAATTAAAAAAGGAAGCAAATCCGGATCGTTAAGAACCTTGGGGTATTCAGATTTTTTTTAAATAATACTTTCCTCTCCAAAAATTGGGATAAAATTCTGAGAAGTCAATGATTTGATATTGAATAGGGTTACGACCCCGAGAAATCTTCAGATATTTAAATTTGATACCCGAGCCGAAACTTCCCGGATCAATCTTCATCCCATTTTAACATGTTCTACAACAAATTTTTAATTTAAAAAATCTGTTCCAATATCCCCAGACGAATTTATTTTTAAAATTAAAATTCTAAACCCAAAGGTACTAAAACAGGAGAGAAGAAATTAATTAAAATAAATTTTATTTAAAAAACCACATACAAGCCAATCCACAATAACCAGTATTTGGAGTACAACAACCAACCACAGGATCACAAATTTGTTCTTCAGGACATTTTCCACAAGTTTGTTTACAATCCTTTCCATAAGTTCCAGGTGGGCAAGTCTTTTCACATCTTTTGCCCAAATAGCCAGGATTGCAGAGGCTTAAATAAAAATTTTTTTAGGAAAATTGTGGATTCTTAATTCCTATCAGAAGCATAATTAACCGATTTAAGGCCCAATAATATAAAATTAAGGTAAGAAGTTCAGTTTTAGATTAAATCTTTTGCCTAAAATAAGGAAAAGTTTAATTATTGAATCAAACTTTTGCGAGTCCCGATCCGTGGTTAGCCAACAATCTTGGCTAGATATTAAGGAGACTAGGTATTAGGCAGGATTTTATTTTTTGATTTTATGTGAAATCCTCATAAAACCCCAAAATTTAAATTCAATTTAATACCGTTATGAGAAAAGAATCCTGACATATTATTAGAATAAAAAATACCATTGTCCAGTAGTTGCTTGACATGTAGACGTCTCAGTTCGGCAACTACATTCTTTTACACAATCAGGTCCCCACCAACCAGGTTCACAATATTTATCACAAAAATCTCCTTGCAATCCTTTAAAACAATTTTAAATTATTTAAAAAAATTTTTTATTTAACCAGACGCGCATTCACAAGAACCGGTAACTGGATCACATCGTTTACTTAAACTTGCGCAGCTACAATTTAACATGCAATTGAGACCATAAAATCCATCAGAGCAATGATGTTGACATAAATCGCCTTCAAAACCGGGCGGGCATTTACATTCTCCATCACTACAAAAATTTAGAAAAAAATTAGAATCTAAATTAATTTGTTCTGTCATTTTCGAAAAGAAAGATGGAATTTCAGGAATTATATTTGAGATCAGACCAGTCTACCGCAAAGCAATGACTACTAAATCTAAAATGCCATAGCAAGTCAATCTTTGTATCAACTGAAGCAGCACTGTGAAAAGCGTCTAATTATGCCAAAAACGTCTGGACACGATTTTAAAGACCTCTTATAAGCTCTGCAGAGTGAATTACAACAGACCGTCCCATACATTTTTATCCATAAATTTCATGTCACGTTAATTTCAAGAATTTTTTTCTTGAACATTTCCCGCCTCAAATCAAGAACCGATTCAACAATTTAATTTAAAAATTATTCTCAAAATCCTTCTTACATTGCCGAACATATTCCTCCATTTTGACATGATCTGCATTTCTGACTACAGTTAAAGCCCCATGTGCCGTCTGGACATTTAAGTTCACATTGAGTACCCGAATATCCAATAGCACATTCACAAGTTCCATCTGTCGAAGAGCAATCACCGCCGAGAGAATTACAATTGCATTGTTGTGAACATCCAGTGCCCCAAGTATTTAAAGAACAACTCTGTTCACAAAAAACGCCGCTTTTACCAGCATCGCATTGCAGACAATCTTTAAATTAAAAATTAAAAAATATTTTTTTATTCAACTCACAGCCAGTAACATGATCGCAATTTTCGTTATTACCACAAATTGAACTACATTTTGTGGCGCAACCTTTTCCAAACCAACCATGTTCACATACTATTTAACAGAGAAAAATTTAGACTATTATATTATGCATTCAATCATAGAGGAGAATTAAGCTTTATAGTTAAAAAATATGTCCAAAAAAAAACGGGTCCAAAATGAAAGTAACCCTCTCCTCTTCCCGTGGTCGACAAAAATTATAAAAATAATTTTTAAGAAACAAACCTTCTTCACATTTTTTCCCAATCCTTCCATCCTGACAAACACAATGGCCAGTATGTTGAATACATGTACCAAAACCAGAACAGTCACAATCAAATTCACATTGACCACCCCATTTGTTTGGTTCACATTTACTATCACAATTATCCCCTTTCCATCCATTTGAACATTTACACTTTCCAGAAAACTAAAAAATATGTAGTAAATTATTGGAAGAAAAATCGTAGTCTATTTATTGTTCCAATCCATTACCCTGTTATTTTTAAGTTAGTCCCTTCAATAATTTCTAAATTTCCCCCCCCCCCCCCAATAATTTCCCTATCCCCCATTAATAACACTATATTCCCAAAAAAGAACTCAAAAATCAAAATATAATTATTTATTTACCCTATCACATTCAGCCCCATTTTCACAATCGCATTTTTGTTTACAATCAATTCCATAAGTTCCTTTAGCACAAGGTTTGTCACATTTTGTGCCAGTCCAGCCAGCTCCACATTGACATTTTCCGGTTAAAGGAAGACAACCCGCATCATTATGACAGTCACAACTTTTACATTTTAAATTTGCTGTTTGTCCCCAACAGGGTAATGAACAACTTGGACCTCTCCAACCTTCTGTACAATTACTAGAAAATTATTAAATAAAATCTTTTTCAAGAAAATTCTAAAAATAGACCAAAATCCATATCGAAAATCGCATTCTGCCCCATTTTTACAATTACACTTTGTGGCACATCCCATTCCATAGAATCCTGGAGGGCATTTTTGGTCACATCTTTAAAGAAATTTTTTAAATTTTTTTTTTCTAAATTTTCCAAAAAAAATTTCAAACTTTTCTCCAGTATATCCAGGAGGACATATACACTTCCCATCCACTGGATCACAAGAAATTCCTGCCACAGAAGCACATTTACATTGTTTTTTGCAGTTTTCCCCAAAAGTTAGGGGAGGACATAAAGAATTGCATCCACCTCCAGTATATCCAGGTTTACAAATACAAGCACCAGTTTGTGGGTGACAACTTTAGAAAAAATTATTTTTTTTAATAAAATTAAATTTAAAAAATAAATATACAGTTGTGTGTTATTTAAATTACAAGCACAAGAATGTTCACATAAAGTCCCAAATCTGTCAACTGGACAAACTAAAAAAATAAAATTAATTTTAATTATTTTTTAAGATTTAAATTTGTTTTAAAAAATTTTTTTTATCCTTTTAACATTATTTTCCGTTAATTTCTAATGAAAACTAGTTACAATAAACAAGAAAAAAAAGAAATGCCACGACCCGGGATCGAACCGGGGACATTTAGATCTTCAGTCTAACGCTCTCCCGACTGAGCTATCATGGCAACGAAAGGAAATAAAATAAAATTGACTAAATAGTAAAGGAGAAAATGAGGTAAATATGGAAAACGGAAAGGGAAGCAATAACACAGAAATTAAAAAAAATTTTTTAAAAATACAAAAAAATTTAAGAAAAAAGAAAAACCTTTTTGTGTACAATTTTCTCCTCTAAAACCCGGCAAACAAATACAACTTCCATTAAATCTTTCACATTTAGCCTCAGATTGGCAATTACAAGTCTTCGAACAGTCCAATCCATAATTGTCTCTAGGGCAAACAGATTGACATCTTTTGCCAGAATAACCATAACACAAACATTTTCCGTCTCTAGGATCACATTTATTATCATTTAAACAATCACATTGCGAAGAACAATTTAAACCAAAAGTTCCCTGTTCGCAAGGAGTTTGGCAAAATTCTCCCTTTAAAAATTTCAAAACATAGGGTAAATTATTTAGATTTTAGTTAAAAATTAATTTAAAAAATAGAGGATGATCTAGAGTAAAATATAAATAAATTAAAATATTTTTAAAAATTATCTCAAATTTTCTAGAAAATTCCAAATTAATTTAAAATTCGTTTTTAACCTAAATTTACGTTGATTTATTACAAGAACCGAAAGAATTAGGCAAAATTTGCCAACATTCAGAAAACTCCGAAATTTTTAAATAAAATTTAATGACATCCTTTAAAAAATAAATTTAAAAACTAACCATAAATCCAGGATTGCAAGTACATATTCCTGTTTTGTCATTACATATCCCATCATTTTGACAATTACATTCATAACGACATCCTTCTTCTGGATTTTCCTTCAAAAAGTTTTTTTAATTAAATTAAACCTCTCGTTATTTTTAAAATAAATTTTCATTTTCCTTCGTTTTTTTCTTCCATCACAAAATATTTTTAATCTTGCAGCAATATTTATTTTTAATTAATTTTCTTTTTTTTATTTATTTTGACATCAAATTATTTGTCTTTTTTTGCAATTTTATATTTATTTACAAAAATGGAAAGATTATTTCTGAAAATAAATATTTTTAGTCTCTTTAAAAATCTAGAGAATTTTTTATTTTCAAATTTTTTTAAATTTTAACACCAAAAATCGAGGAAAGGATTTCTCAAAAATATCAAATTATTTTTTTTATTTTTTCTAAAAATTATTGAAAAAACCTTTTCACATTTGTGGGTACAATGTTTTCCAGACCATCCAGTTTTACAACTACATTCCCCCGTTTCCTTGTCACACTTTCCCCCATTTTGGCAGAGGCAGCTAGATTCACAATTTAGACCAAATTTTCCTTCCGGGCATTCATTTTCACAACGATCGCCGATATAACCTTTAAATTTATTTTTAAATAAATCAGAATTTTTTTTATAAATTTTGAGTTTCTAGTTTTAAAAGTGCTCAAATAATCTAAAACCCTCAATATAATTTAAAAAAAACCTGAAGGGCATAAACACTTTCCAGTAACAGCATCACACCTTTTTGTCTGTTCACAATCACATTTGTGTGTACATTGCTGTCCCCAAGTGCCAGTTGGACAGGTTAAAGCACAAGTATCACCACTCCAACCATCATCACAGGTGCAATGATTGGGCTCTGTACACCGTCCTTTTTGACAAGGAAGATCACAGACGGCTGAAAATTTTTTTAAATTTTCAAAAAAATTTTTTGCAGCGAAAATTTATGTAGAGGAAATTTGAGGACAGAAAAGTATTTTTAGGGTAATTTTCGATATAAATTTTATAAAAAAATTAAAGTTGGAAATTTCATCCCAGAAAATAAAAATTTTTCTAATAAATACCCAAAATTCCGAATTATTTTCTACTACTTTTTCTTAATAAAAAAATAAACTAACGTTTGCAGGTATTGTCTGAATCTTGAAAATATCCATTGCAGCACCTAAAATTAATTAAAAATTTTCGAATAAATTCAAAATTTAGGGCATTTATCCCCTAAAATTTTTAGAAATATTTTAATAAAAAACCTTGTAATGACAACTTTTGTTATTTCAGGCACAGATTTGTAGGAAATTGTAGATCCAGTTTTGCTCATTTGACATTTAAATCCTTTGGTAATATCTGGACACCTAAAAATAGAAAAAAAATAAAAAGTCCGCAAAAAATGTCCGCAAAAATATTTTTTTAATTTTCCAAAATTAATTTTCTAAAAAACAAACCAGACAGTAGTAACAATCTTTACGGGCCTCACAACTTTTTTGAAAACCATCTTTTCTTGTCTATAAAAATATTAGATCAAAAAAATTAAAATTTCTCCTCTTACTCTTCTTCAAAAGTGCAGACATTTTGTCCAGTCGGTTCTACTTGTGGTTGTGAAAAGGCACAAATAAATCCAATTTTGTTGATTGAAAATAAAAATAAAATAAAAGCAACAGGAAAATTAAAAAGCTGCGAAAATTGAAGTAATTTAGCCATTTAAATTATTTAAGTTAGAGAAAACGAAATAGCATGTAATTTGAAGAGAATTAGAGAAATTTGTTGTTAGTGGTAATTTTAAGTAGTTAATTTGTATTTTATCTGAAAAAATTTTTTAAAGGTTATTTCTCCTGGAATTTAGCTATTTTTGTGAATAAAAATAAAATTTCAAACAAGAAATTAAATAAAATAAGGATTGGACGATATAAAAGTATTTTCAAGTATATTTATTTTTTCTAAAAGTCACTCGGTCGAGTACTTGCCCGAAATGTTTATTCAACTCTTAATAAATATACAAATATGTTTAGAATGTTATTTACATTAAGAAAAAAAATTGAAAAAAAAAATTAATTAAAAAAAAACAAAGAAGAAAACACGCAAAATTCAGACCCAAATTTATAAGGAGAGTGGAGGGGACACGCAGGCGCGCGGCCATAACGGCGCAAAGCGATAACCTGGCTGGAAAATTTCTGGCCCTAATAGATTTAGGTACTAAGCTCTTTAGCTCAATGAGAGGAATCGTTTAATACCAAATTTAGTAGGATTCGGAAATCTTGAAGTAGGTTATGGCTGTGCGCCGTTATGGCCTGCGCCTACTTGGGCTGTAACCGGAGAGTGGTGTTATACACTCTGCGTCAAAAATGGTTAGCCACCTAGTTTTTCCGAAATATTTTTTTTCAACTCTGAGATAGGGCGTTTGTTCTGGGAGATAAAATGTTTATATTTATCGAATTTATCTATTTACCAAAAATCTTATTATTTGATAATAGACGGGTCCGTCAAAACGGGAATAACTTAAAAACTGGTGCGTCAAAATAAGTTGGCCACTTGTATTTTCGACCTATAGGAGTGGTCCGAAAAATCTACAAAAATTCCTGTAAACATATCCATTGATATGTATAGAAAATACAAAAGAAATGAAGTTCCGATATAAGTCCTTCATTGAGATCTGAAAACTCGAAAATCAACGGAAAACTGGGGTAGACGTCTTAAAAAAATATTTTCGACCCCTTAGGGTATGTGTAAAATTTTTCTATTATACTCGACAAATAGCCAATAAAATTTGCTATAAGATACAGAAGGACCCGTCCTTTTAAAAAATTTTCCGGATCAGCGTTCAGGCTAGAATAACTGCTGCCCAGAAATAGCCTAAAAATGCACTATCTTTGGCTATCATTTATTCTAGCCTGAACGCTGATCCGTACAAATTTTTTATAAGGATGGGTCCTTCTGTATCTTATAGCAAATTTTATTGGCTATTTGTCGAGTATAAAAGAAAAATTTTACACATGCCCTAAGGGGTCGAAAATATTTTTTATAGTACTGTACCCCCATTTCCCGTTGAAAACGGAGGCTTGAGATCTCAGTGATCTAGATAGTTTTCGGCTTCGTTCTTTTTCTATTTTATTACATATTGATAGATAAGTTCACAGAAATTTTTGGGGAATTTTAGCTGCCCCCTAACTAGGCTTTTTAAAAGTGGCCAACTTATTTTGACGCACCAGTTTTTAAGTTATTCCCGTTTTGACGGACCCGTCTATTATCAAATAATAAGATTTTTGGTAAATAGATAAATTCGATAAATATAAACATTTTATCTCCCAGAACAAACGCCCTATCTCAGAGTTGGAAAAAATATTTCGGAAAAACTAGGTGGCCAACCATTTTTGACGCGGAGTGTATTTGGTGGTGATCTTTTGGGTCGAATTAATAGAATAATTTCAATTTTCGAAATTAACACCATTTAAGTTTACAATAAAAATTATTTTTTCTTTAACAAAGTATTTAAAATTTTATTTTGATTTCCTTTAAACTTTAATCGCTGCAAATTTGAAAAATAAAATGTAAACATTCAAGGGTGAAGGAGGGGAAGGGAGATGTTCAACATTAAAAATACATACATGGAAAGGAATAAAAAAGAGAGATGCGCGAAAGGCGAAAGCTTGATCGATTTAAATATATAGAACGACCTCTATTTTAAATTTTTATAAAAAGTAGGGGGATATATTGGATTTGTAGAGGAAAATGGAGAAAAAATGTTTTTATGTAGTGAGGCAATTTTTGGTAAAACAAACTAATTTTGGCACAAGATTATTTTATTCAATAAAGAAGATGCTCAAGGTCAACACCAGCCTAATACCCTAGAGACTAGTAAGAATTAAATTCTTTCGAGATTTTTAAAGATCCTTTAATAAAGCGGACTAACTCCTACACGAAATGCAACCACCACACGACGAAAGTCATTTTAGTGTAGTGGGAAAATGCTTACTTAGATTTATAACAAAATAGACAAAGGTTCGAATCCCACTTATGGAAAATAATTTTATTTGAGTAAATAAAGTATTTGGAATAACAGTTAAATGATTTTTTATTGTCTGACTGATTAATTTTATTGATAGACACCCAAAAAATAGTGTTAATTGAGATTAATTTAATCAATGAAAAATTGTTAAAAAATCATTCAATATACGGCCTTATATTTATAAAATAAACACTAAATATAAATACAAACAAACATTAATTGTTGTGACTCATCAACTCTCCGTCCTAAATTTGTGGAAATTCAACTAAACGTCATTTATAGGAAATTTTTTTTTTCTCGTTAAAAAACAAAAATATATCACATTTTTAGTTAATATTAATTTAAAAAATTTTTTCCATAAATTCTTTTAGAATTTTAAAAATTAAATTTGGAGTTAAACAAAAGTTTTAGCCACCTTGTTTAATATTTGCTAACTAAAATTGGACCTCCTTTCTTCACATTATTTTAGTTATTTTTAGAAAAAAGATTTTTTTTATATTTTCCACCAAGTCAATTAAAATAAATTATTTTTTGAGGACAAATTAATAACGAAGGGTATTTAAAAGAAAAACAAATTTAAGTTACTCAAAGGAAAGGAAAGCTTTGACTATTTAAATAAAATAAATATTTTTTGGAATGCTTTTTGTGTTGGGGGGGGGGGGAGGGGGGGAGTAGTAAAATAATTTCGAGAAAAGAACGCTTGTGTTGAATTTATATAAAAATACATAAATATTTTTAGTTAAAAAATGTAAATAAATATTTAGAGAAGAATGACAACAAAAATATTTATTTTTTTAGTTGAAAAAGATTGTTATATTTTTCATAATTTGGAAAGTTCAAATAATTTTTAGACAATTTTAAAAAAATAAAAGAAAGAGGGGGAATCAGAGGAAATCACAGAAATTTTCTTGGGGAATCAGAGGAAAATAAAAAAAATTATTAGGGGATTCTTTTAAGGAAATATACAAATTTCTTCGACTTTCTCCGTCTCCGACACTGATAATTTAATAATTACTATAATTAAGTTGTTTGTGCAATTAGTTAAATCCCTTCCTTATTTTTTCAAATTTGATAATAATAAATCCGCCGCCTTGTTTCTCCCAATTAAAATATTTATTTGTTGACTGATTGTAGGAGAGAGTAGAGATTTATATCAATTAAATAAATCTCTTTAAAGGTTTTTATGTGTGTCAATTCACAAATTATGATCTCTCTCATTACTTTTCTCTCTTAATTAAATTTAATTCTTTGTTAAATTTTGTTCTTTCAATCGATTCTTTTAATTAACACAATCAACCTTTATTTTTTTATTTATTTTTCTTTTCAATTTTATTGATAAAATTTAAAAAAATATACAAAAATTTTAACATAAAAGCACTTCAAAAATTTAAATAAAAATAAGAAAAAAATAGAGAGGCAAGTAAATAAAATTTAAAAGAAAAATTAAAATTATTTATAAGGCTTTAATTTTTTATATATTACATTTTTAATTAAAGATATTTTAAAAAGAAAAATCCCCCCATATACATAGGCAAGATAATGTTTATTTTAATAATTAAATAAAAAGAAAAATTTTGCACAGAAAAACAGAAAAGTTAAAATATAATTATGGATATAATTAAAAAAAAGGAAAATGATTAGAAGAGAGAAAGTCAAAGATTTAGCAACTCCCTAATTTTCAGTTAGTAAGCTACTTTTTGTTCCACAAAATTTTTAACTTTTCAATCTTTCATGAACTCTTCTTACAATTCAGCAGCTATTTGATTTTTAATTTTTAAATAAATGCCATTTTAATTTTTAAATTTTCGTAAATGTTGTCACGGCATTTTAAAAAATTAAAACGAAAATTTTTTAAAAACTAAAAATAAACAAGTACCCAAAAAAAGATGAAATTAAAATGCGGTGGAACAAAAAAACCTACTAATCGTCTAAAAAGTAGAGAGGGCTAAGTTGTCATTTAAGAGGTATCAAAACAAAAAATATTTTTCTTCTGAATTTTGAAATACTCAAAAAATTATTAAAGAATTTAAAAAATTCTAAGTCAAATTATTATTATTATCCCCACCACCACCAGCACTAGTTCCACCTCCTCCATCTTCATTATTATCATTTAAATTTGTTTGGCATTGATGTAAACTATCCAAAGTTAACGCCATTCGTGATCGGAAGTTTAATAAACCATTTTTAAAAATTCTTCAAAAATATTTTTAAAAAATAAAAAAGTTAAACAAAAATATTTACCCATTATCCAAACGATTCATTAAACGTGCTCTAATTGATTTGAGGGCATTACTGAAAATTAAAAAATTTTTTATGAAGATCTTCAAGTAAGTCATATTATTTAAACTAGAGTTGGGTGGTATCGGGATCCCGACAGGCATCAGGCGGTATATACCGGTTTTTTGAATCCCGATACCAATTTTTCTGATACCGATCCGAGGCTATTTTAAATTTTTAGATAATACCGATATTTCAATCAAGATCCGAGCCGGTATCGGTATCATCATTCCAAAATATCGATACCGATTTTAGGTCGGAATCCCCATACCGCCCAACTCTACTCTAGACTTATTTTTACCTAAAAGAAATTTTAAGAAATCCGGCGAATCAAATAAAATGGATTCCTTTCAATTCCTTTATTTTCCGTATGTAGATCACCTCGCACCCCTCACACCAAATATAGGAAGGGAGGCGATTCCCTCT